GGTCCTGGGGGTGAGGGAAGGGGTCCTGGGGGTGAGGGAAGGGTCCTGAGGGGTGAGGGAAGGGTCCTGGGGGGGTGGTGGAAGGGGTCCTGGGGGTGAGGAAGGGGTCCTGGGGTGAGGAAGGGGTCCTGGGGTGAGGGAAGGTCCTGGGGGTGAAAAAGGGGTCCTGGGGTGAGGAAGGGTCCTGGGGGTGAGGAAGGGTCCTGGGGTGAGGGAAGGGGTCCTGGGGTGAGGGAAGGGTCCTGGGGTGAGGGAAGGGTCCTGGGGTGAGGAAGGGTCCTGGGGGGTGAGGGAAGGGGTCCTGGGGTGAGGAAGGGTCCTGGGGGGAGGAAGGGTCCTGGGGAAGAGGAAAGGGTCCTGGGGTGAGGGAAGGGTCCTAGAGGGAAGGGGTCCTGGGGGGCAGGGAAGGGTCCTGGGGTGAGGAAGGGGTCCTGGGGGTGAGAAGGGTCCTGGGGGTGAGGGCAACCTGGGGTGAGGGAAGGGTCCTGGGGGTGAGGGAAGGGGTCCGGGGTGAGGGAAGGTCCTGGGGTGAGGAAGGGTCCTGGGGTGAGGCAGGGGTCCTGGGGTGAGGGAAGGGAACTGGGGGGTGAGGGGAAGGGTCCTGGGGTGAGGAAGGGGTCCAGGGGGGTGAGGAAGGGGTCCCAAGAGAGGGAAGGGGTCCTGGGGGAGAGGGAAGTCCGGGGTGAGGAAGGGGTCCTGGGGGTGAGGGACAACCTGGGGTGAGGGAAGGGGTCCTGGGGTGAGGGAAGGGTCCTGGGGAAGAGGGAAGGGTCCTGGGGTGAGAGGAAGGGTCCCTGGGGTGAGGGAAGGGTCCTGGGGGTGAGGAAAGGGTCCTGGGGTGAGGGAAGGGGTCCTGGGGGTGAGGAAGGGTCCTGGGGGTGAGGGAAAGGGTCCTGGGGTGAGGAAGGTCCTGGGGTGAGGGAAGGGGTCCGGGGGGAGGGAAGGGTCCCAGAGGAAGGGGCCCTAGGGGTGAGGAAGGGGTCCTGGGGGTGAGGAAGGTCCTGGGGTGAGGAAGGGTCCTGGGGAGGAAGGGTCCTGGGGGTGAGGAAGGGTCCTGGGGGTGAGGAAGGGTCCTGGGGGTGAGGAAGGGTCCTGGGGTGAGGAAGGGTCCCTGGGGGAGAGGAAGGGTCCTGGGGGTGAGGAAGGGTCCTGGGGTGAGGAAGGGGTCCTGGGGGTGAGGAAGGGTCCGGGGGTGAGGAAGGGGTCCGGGTGAGAAGGTCCAAAGGTCCCAAGAGGAAGGGTCCTGGGGGGGGAAAGATCCTAGGGGAGGAAGGGTCCTGGGGGTGAGAAGGGGTCCTGGGGGTGAGGAAGGGTCCTGGGGGTGAGGAAGGGTCCTGGGGGTGAGGAAGGGTCCTGGGGTGAGGAAGGGTCCTGGGGGTGAGGAAGGGTCCTGGGGAGAAGGGTCCGGGGGTGAGGAAGGGTCCGGGGGAGGGGGTCCTGGGGGGTGAGAAGGGTCCTGGGGAAGAGGAAGGGGTCCTGGGGTGGAGGAAGGGTCCTGGGGTGGGAGGAAGGGTCCGGTGAGGAAGGGTCCCAGAAAGGAAGGGGTCCTGGGGGAGGAAGGGGTCCTGGGGGTGAGGAAGGGTCCTGGGGTGAGGGGAAAGGGGTCCTGGGGTGAGGAAGGGGTCCTGGGGGTGAGGAAGGGGTCCTGGGGTGAGAAGGGTCCTGGGGGTGAGGAAGGGGTCCTGGGGGGTGAGGAAGGGGTCCTGGGGGTGAGGAAGGGTCCTGGGGTGAGGAAGGGTCCTGGGGTGAGGAAGGTCCGGGGGTGGAGGAAGGGGTCCTAGGGGTGAGGAAGGGTCCTGGGGTGAGGAAGGGCCAGGGGGGGTGGGGAGAACAGTGGGGGTGAGGAAGGGGTCATGGGGGGTGAGGGAAGGGGTCATGGGGGGTGAGGAAGGGTCATGGGGTGAGGAAGGGGTCAAGGGGTGAGGAAGGGCCAGGGGTGGAGAAGGGCTGTAAACAAGAGAAGGGGTCATGGGGTGAGGAAGGGGTCAGTGAGGAAGAGGAAGGGGTCATGGGGTGAGGAAAGGGTCATGGGGTGAGAAAGGGTCATGGGGGTGAGGAAAGGGTCATGGGGGTGGAGGAAAGGGTCATGGGGTGAGGAAAGGGTCATGGGGTGAGGTGAGGATCATAGGGTGAGGAAAGGGTCACTGCTATCACACATCACAAACCACCACACACCATCATCACCACTACCACCAACATATATATAATCACCTTCACCATCACTAGCACCATTACCAACGACCATAATCATCACTACCACCACCACCAGATTTTAATTACCTTCACAGCTACCAACTCACTGCCACAAGAGAGAGAGAGAGAGAGAGAGAGAGAGAGAGAGAGCGAGAGCGATGACAGCCCCAGCAGGAGTCAAACACCTCCACGTGTGACCTGAGCCATGCAGTAGTTCCAGTGATGCCCCCTGACCTGCCCTGGTTTATGTCACTGGCCAAGTCCTTAATAATACCTTGAGGCCGAAAATAAGATGTCTTGAAGATGTTCTTAACTCGGCCCTCCTGACCTGTTTAATGGATGTTTATGTCGGAGGAGGTTTTTTTTCATCCCCAGCCAAATTAATATAATGCTACTTAAGTCAATCGTATTTATTTGCGTTTATCTACCCAATATTCGCCTTTCATGACTGATAAAGCTGATACCTCTTTCCTGTGTGTGTGTGTGTGTGTGTGTGTTATAGTCCCTTATAGAGGCAAACAGATGACACACCAGGCAAAGTAATCATCAATGTTAAGATTTCTTGAAAGGAACAGAACGCGGCCACTATTTACATCTGGTGTGTCTACTGTACGTTTTTAAATGGCTAAAGAATACACACACAAAACAATAATTTTTCAATGATGGTAAGTAGTTCTAACACAATCATCCTGTAACACACACTAGTGACACATAACCTGTAACACACAGTGATACATGCTACTTGTCCAGACAACGAGCCTTGACAGAACAGGTTTGAGCAGACGGTGAACTCTCTCCATTACCCTCCCTAATTCTCCTACACTCCTTCCTTCCCTCCATCTCCATTGCTTCCTCCTTCCCACCTCCCTCCTTCCCTCACTCACTTCCTCCTCCCTCCCTTCCTCCCTCCCTCAGCCTCCACCAGGACTCACGTGCAGAGAGCGATGCCATCCTTGAGAGCATGACCGAAGGCGAGCTGGTCTATGAGGCCGTCCTCGGTGGGCCAGTCGAGGGGGACCTGAGTCACGGCCTCCACCCACTCACACGCCTCCCGCGCCCGCTGGAGGTCGAACTTGGCTTGACTCTGTGGAGGGCAAGACAAAGGTACAGTTATGGTCTGATTCTGCACAGGTAAATGAATATAAATAATCAATGTAAATCAATATTCAACTAGTGTAAATAAACGATCAAAGGGGAATTGAAACCATAAAAAATAATTCCAATTCTGTAAATGATATTCAACATTTACGTAAAACAGTTCCTCTCGTGTAAACAATATTACTGTAAACAAACAAGTGAATATGAGTCAAATATCTTACTCTCTCTCTCGTGTGCTTATACTACACATACTCTGGGCTAGTGTATTAAAAAGACGTAAACACACACAGACAAACGTACACACAGACAACTAAACGTACACACATACACCACCACACACGCGCACTCCTAATCCACACCGACACTCTCCTAACAAACAAACAAACACAGACAAACAAACAGACACATATGTAACACAAACTCCCAAAACAAACACAAAAAGTGTCAACACCCACCACTTGTCACGGGCATTAGTGGACAGAACAAGCGAGCAGGGTACAGCAGGGTACAGCAGGGTACAACAGGGTACAGCAGGGCACACAGTATACAACAGCTGGTGTATTCGACCACCTGTCACCACTGTCTCATTACCCGGCCTCATTATATAAATTATTCATCATAGATCATCATCACTCAACCTCTTCATCATAAGAATGCCCACTGTCTGACCTCTCCAAGCGACTGATGACGTCATACGAGGCACTAGGCCGCCTGGGTTGGGTTGGGGTTGGGTTAGCATTAGGGTGTTTAATCATCACGTGAAATAAACTGGGGTTCCTAATCTTCACGAGACCAACACTCTTTAATTTTAATTTTAATATTTTTGCTTCTATCGCCAACACAACACTTGTCTCGTGACCACCAACTACCACCTGTTCCGTAACCACCCAAGTACCACCACCTCAACCACCTTAACAACCACCACCACACCTTAACCACCTCACAGCCACACCAACCAACAACCTTAACCAACCCAACCAACCTACAACCATCCAACCACCACCTTAACCACCCAACCACGTACTATTAACTAACATGGCCAGTAACTAAAATCTAGTAAGGCTTTTGAGTTTCTGAAAGGAGGAGAGAGAGAGAGAGAGAGAGAGAGAGAGTTAATTGAAAGAATAGAGGAAAAGAAGAAATAAATTACAAGAATAAATAAATAAGTAAAATAAATAAATGAAGAACAGTTTAAAGGGTTAAAGTCATCGTGCTAAAGGTTGTCATCGTGCTAAAGGGTTAAATCATCATTGAAGGGTTAAGTCATCGTATTGAAGGGGTTGTCATCGTATTGAAGGGTTAAGTCATCGCATTGAAGGGTTAAGTCATCGCATTGAAGGGTTAGTCATCGTATTGAAGGGTTAAGTCATCGTATTGAAGGGGTTAAGTCATCGTATTGAAGGGTTGTCATCGTATTGAAGGGTTGTCATCGTAATTGAAGGGGTTGATCATCGTGCCCTAAGGGTTGTCATCGTAATTGAAGGGTTAAGTCATCGCTGCAAGGGTTAGTCATCGTATTGAAGGGGTTAAATCACCAACAACGTATATTGTCATCGTACTGAGGGTCATCGCACTCAGGGGTCTCATCACTCGGTCCACGTGCTCAGGAGTCCCGTCGCACTCATGGGGTTCCCGTCCCTGCTGGGGTCCTCCATCGCACTCAGGGTCCCTCCATCGCACTCGGGGTCCCTCATCGCACTCGGGGTCCAATGTGCTCAGGAGTCCCCATCACCCTCACATGGGGTTCTCATCGCACTCAAGGGTCCTCATCACCTCGGGGTCCTCATCGCCTCGGGGTCCTCATCGCACTCGGGGTCCTCACCGCACTCAGGGGTCCTCGCCTCAGGGGTCCCTCATCGCACTCGGGGTCCTCCATCCTCAGGGTCCTCATCGCACTCAGGGTCCTCATCGCACTCGGGGTCCTCATCGCACTCAGGGGTCCTCATCGCACTCAGGGGGTCCTATCGCACTCAGGGGTCCTCATGCTGAGGGGTCCCCCATCGCACTCGGGGTCCTCATCGCCTCAGGGGTCCCCACCGCACTCGGGGGTCCTCATCGCACTCAGGGTCCCATCGCACCTCGGGGGTCCCTCATCGCACTCAGGGGTCCCTCATCGCACTAGGGGGTCTCATCGCCTCGGGGTCCTCATCGCACTCGGGGGTCCCCATCGCACTCGGGGTCCCTATCGCACTCGGGGTCCTATCGCACTCGGGGGTCCCTCCATCCGCAGTCTCCATCCGCCTCGGGGGTCCTCATCGCTCGGGGTCCTCATCGCACTCAGGGGTCCTCATCGCCTCGGGGTCCTCCATCGCACTCAGGGGTCCCCACTCCGCCTCAGGGGTCCTCATCGCACTCAGGGGTCCTCATCGCCTCGGGGGTCCTCATCGCACTCAGGGTCCTCATCACTCAGGGGTCCTCATCGCACTCGGGGATCTATCGCCTCGGGGGTCCTCATCACCTCGGGGTCCCTCATCGCCTCGGGGTCCTCATCGCACCAGGGCCCTCATCGCATCGGGGGTCCTCATCACTCAGGTCCTCATCGCACTCGGGGGTCCCCATCACCTCGGGGTCCCCATCGCACTCGGGGTCCTCATACTCAGGGGTCCTCATCGCCTCAGGGGTCCTCATCGCACTCGGGGTCCTCACATCGCACCCGGGGTCCTCATCGCACTCGGGGGTCCTCATCGCCTCGGGGTCCTCATCGCACTCAGGGGTCCTCATCGCCTCGGGGTCCTCATCGCCTCAGGGGTCCCTCCTTGCGCCTCAGGGGGCCTCCATCGCACTCGGGGGTCCCTCATCGCCTCGGGGTCCTCATCGCACTCGGGGTCCCCATCGCACTCAGGGGGTCCTCCCATCGCACTCGGGGGTCCCCATCGCACTCGGGGTCCTCATCACTCCGGGGTCCTCATCGCAGGGGGTCCTCATCGCACTCGGGGGTCCTCATCCACTCGGGGGTCCTCAAGCTCACTCGGGGTCCTCATCACTCAGGGTCTCATCGCACTCAGGGGTCTCATGCTCAGGGGTCCTCGATCACACAGGGGTCCTCCGCCACCCCGGGGTCCCCATCGCCTCGGGGGTCCTCATCACCTCGGGGTCCCCATCGACTCCGGGGTCCCACTCACTCGGGGTCCCTCGCCTCGGGGGTCCCCATCACTCAGGGGTCCCTCAGCCACTCGGGGGTCCCTCATCGCACTCGGGGGTCCCCATCGCACTCGGGGGTCCTCATCGCACTCAGGGGTCCCCATCGCACTCAGGGGTCCCTCATCGCCTCGGGGTCCCCTCCCTCAGGGGTCCCTCGCCTCACCTCATCGCACTCAGGGGTCCCCATCGCCTCAGGTCTCTGCACTCAGGGTCCCCATCGCACCCAGGGTCCCTCGCACTGGGTCCCCATCGCACTCAGGGTCCTCATCGCACTCAGGGTCCTCCATCGCCTCCAGGGTCCTCATCGCACTCAG